GGTATACACAGGTAGGTCTTTGCTAATGAAGACAGAATAGGATACCGCCCTGCATGATCTGTCCACCACCTTCTCTCCTTTTGCGTTTTTTGACACCGCGAAACCAAAATGTTTCCAGACATCTGACTTAAAAGCTGCAGGTTGTTTTCATCCTTACAACTATCGCTGTCGGCCATGCTAGCTTGCTTTGAGCTTGTGTGGACAGCGTGCAATCCTATTGGCTTAAGAACGGTTGGTATAACGACGCAGCGCAAAGGATCATGGTCTATTTAGTTAACAATGATTTGTTCCGCGGTACTGTGTTTAATCCTCTTGCTTTATGACGGACACCTGTCTTTTTATTAATGTAACCCAACCACGACGATATTAAGACACGTTTACAACCGCGATAATGTCAATATCGTTACATCCCTATTACTAATAAGGATTCATCTACGGATTGATTAATTAGTTTAAGGATCAATAACCAAGTATTAACAGGCCCTTAGAGTTTAGCTTTTTTTACTTTTACGGATTTTGAACCGAGTGAAACTAATGTGAACACTTGTTTTACTCTGAAAGGAGTTTTTTTTTTTTCATTTTAAGTGGAAAATATGTGAAGTTTAAGCTTCACCTTTCAGCTAAGGCTGGTCAATTAATCAACAAAATCAATTAACTGAATATTTTGGTTATGATGAAAAAAAAATTTCGAACGATTTGGATTGTTTTTTGTAGCAGATCTTATCTTTTAACAGATAAATTAGAATATTTTAAAAGGTTGTTTATTTCAGGAGCTCAGTTCAAAGCTGGAACCTGTTCTATAGAATCAGTGAACACATGCTGATGTTTTCAAGCATTCATTTCAGTTAGTTCTGAATTTACAGGAAGTAAAAAAAAAAAAAAAAAAAAAAAAAAAACCTTCCTGAACTTTTTATTGTTTTCTGTTTTTATCTGTTTCACTTTACAAACTTTGTTTAAAGTTCCAGCAGCTGTTTGTAGAAGGAGCTTTAATGGATGGTTAATGCTCCTCCTGGCTGGGAACGTTTCCCTCTGTGAGAACCCTCCACCTCTCATTGCTCTGCTTCTCTTAATCTTCCATTAGGAGAGACTTCCTCATCTACCAGGAGCCTGGAAAGCCGGCTGTGAACATCACAGACAACAACTTTAAGGACAAAGTGAGGCCGACCGCATCCTGATGTTAAATTCATTCATTCCCAGCCGGTTAATGCAGATCAGCTCCTGTTCAAACTTCAGATTGATCTCTTAATAAATCCAAAGCTGAATTACTGAACCTATATGTGGCAGAAATTAGATCTGATCTTTACGGAAGAGGATTAGTGCCACTGGAAAAAAAAAACATAAAGTTAACTGATTTTTAAATTTTATTTCAGTTTACCATGGGAAAAAAATTCAAAATTCTGACTTTAATCTCAGAATTCTGACTTTAATCTCAGAATTGTGGATCTTAATGTAGATGGGCACCATGAAGGAAGAGATGTGGGAGCACTCAGCTTCACTGACAAAGATGTGAGTTGTTTGAGGTGGCTAGTGACACATGGAAAATGACGGAATTAGGCAACTTTGTACGTGCCCGAGGGGTCCCCTCATTAATAGAGGAGCAGAAGGTCATTAAAACAAGAGAGCTAGTCTCTAAAACAGACATGGCTATGGCCTGATGCTAACATGTTTGAATTCTGAGAAAAAGTCAGAATTTTGAGGTTAAAGTCAGAATTCTGAGATTAAAGTCAGAATTCTGAGTAAAAAAAATCAGAATTCGGAGAAAAAGTCAGAATTTTGAGGTTAAAGTCAGAATTCTGAGAAAAAAAGTCTTTCAGTGCCCTAATCCTCTTCCATAGATCTTTGCATTTGCATTACCCATGATAAATATTTAAAACAAAAATAGCATAGAATGTTTTATGGCGTGTATTTAAGGAGAAGTATCTTGGCTGCTCGTTTTAGGCTAGCTGAGTTTCTTCTTGTGAGGTAGGCGGCCATCTTGTTTAGTTTTACTAGCAGGATAGCGTAGTTGTTCCGCTGACCTTCCTGATCCCAGATCTGAATGTCTGTGTCAGAACCACGTCTGATGCTTTTCTGTTGCCTTTCAGGTCCGGTTGTGTTTCCTGAATGGAAATCACTACGACAGTGTTTATCCCTTGGAGAGCATTAAGAGCGCTGCGATCTGTCAGTGTAAGCATCATCATCATCATCATCATCGTCCTGTGTTTCAACCAGGAGCTGATGTAGAGAAAATAATCCCCGTGTTGTTTTGTGTTTATTCCAACGTGTTTAGGCGCTAATTGTCCATAATATCACAAAGAACATTTTTATGCTAATGATTGACAAATCTAAAAAAATATGAGACATTTCCATATAAAACTAATGTTATATATAAGTATGAATAAATCATAAGTAGGAAAATAGATTCTGTTAAAAAAGCAACACATGGATCTTAACCAGAACAAAAGAAAAACTGAATTTCTGTCTTTTTTCTCCTCAGATTTTGTTGGTTCAGTGTGTGGATATTAATTATTTGCAAAGCAACTTAACAGTTTGAATTGTAATTCACATCAGATGATTTATAGTCTTTAAAATGACAAACCTGTCTAAGATTTTCAGTTATGTGCAGATATTTTAGTAAGTGGAAGTAAAAAAAAAAATACTCAAAGATTCCTCAACTGTTCCTCTGCCTATCTGTGCTTTTCTTTTCTATTCTTCTTTTTGTTCTTTTTTGGTTCTTCCTTCATTGTGTTTGTCTTTCTTGTCTTTTTCTTTTGTTCTTTTTGTCCTTTCTCTTTTCCTTCTTTCCTTTTTTCTTTCCGTCCTTCCTTCCCAGTGCTCTTTATTCGTTCTTCTTTCAAGTCTCTTTTTTTCCTGGTTCCAAATGTAAAACCTAACAGCTGTAGTTCATGGGTAATCTTTCCAGTACCACTCAGTCTAATTTCATTTTGCGTGCTGCAGCCATCCTCTACGAGCTCCTGTACGAAGGCGTCTTCAAGGTGGACCGCAACTCTTTGGGTTCCTGTCAGAGAACCAGCCGGGCGTCAGACTTACTGAGTGACGACTGCATGAACGTCTGCATGAGCAGTGACGAGTCCGACCTGGAAACCGAGGAGGCGCTTTGGTGGGGAAAATAACTTTCATTACACGATTAAGATTTTCTGAAATGCCTTTGGGCTGAGAAATAAATAAAAGACATCGATACAGTTTTGGTTTCGTATAAATAAGACTCCTGCTCTTTGCATCTTTTTGTAATACAGGGTGGAAAATGGAACCGCCTCATCTTCCTCACGGACCAGCAACCATAGCTACAGGGTAACATCTGATTGGTCTTCAAAGTCCCGTACCTCCCTGCTCTGCTGAGGATCAGAACGATTCTCATAATGGTTCCGTTTCAGGGCCGAGGCCGTGGCCGGATGCTGCCTGAGAGGGTGAGGCGATCGCTGAACCCGACTCTGCTCCGAAATGTGGACTACGACATTTGGCACAAGACCAAAAGAGGTGAGAGAAGCAAAAACACAAAGTCTTTATTTGTTCAAGTTTGCATCATTCAATCAAGTCAGTTTGTGAATCAGAACCTCAGAGCATCAACATCCAATCAATTCAGACACGGTAAACTTTTAAGTTGCTACAAAAAAACCACAACAGCCTTAAATTAGAAGCAGCAGGATTTTGGCTTTGGGTTTTTTGGAGACGTTTCAATGCCTATCCTCTTTATCAGTTCTGTCAGCCGGATGGCTGAGAATTTACACTGGCTTCCTACAAAAAAAACACGTTTTAACCCAAAACTGACAGGAACTATGATATATTTGGTTACCAAGGTGACGCCCAGATTTTATGGAGCAGTGCTGCCTTTCGATGAATGTTTTATGATTATCATTTAAACAGGAGTCTGATTTATAGTCATGTCTACTTTAGACCAAACCATTGTTCAGAGTTTTAGCCTCAATTTAATTTTAATTTAAAAAGAGCTGCAGCTGAAATCTGTTGGATTCGTCAGATTATACTGAACTATGACTCTACAATATATTTAAGATTAATTTAGGACTTGTATGATATGTAAATCACATCCTAGACTTTATAATAATATAAAAATCTGTATAATATACTTATTTAAGTTTCCATTCAGGTATTTGGAGAAAATAATGATTTGAAACCATTTCTTATTTTATTTAACCACCCATTTAACACTGAAACTTTAAAATGAGGAACACTGTTTCTCTAAGGTGTGTTTAAAAGTAGGGGTTCATGTGTTGCTACCTGATGTTAGCAACACATCTGGATGCTTGTTTCTTTGTCCCCCACATGTGGCTGGTGGCTCTTTTGAATGCACCTGCTACAGAGGAAGCTACAGGTTGCCAAAAACAAACCAACCAACCTGCACCATGGTCTAGCTCCGTGCATAAAGAGCGATATTAGCTGGTCTTATTGAAAACCGTAGCCAGCAGCAGTGCACACTAGAGATGAAGGACATTGTTAGGATGTTACAGATAGATGGCAGATATTAGCACTGGAACTATCAGACATCGGCCATTCCACTGATATAACAGGAGCTGTTTTTGTGACAAACTCGTGAGGATGATGCCTGTAGCACCAATGTGGAATTATGACGCCACATGGACCTCCATGATGCATGGGGCTGCAGCAGAGAGAGGTAGAAATGATGGTATCAGTAGTGTGGAGGTTAAAATGGTCAGAAATGGATGGTCAGACTGCTTGATGCTATGACTACTCATCATCAGTGATGCAAGGAGGAGCTATAACCAGGTCCTCCAGCACTTAAACGTTAAATGGAAAGGTGGCTTTATGGCTAGGGCGTTGTGCTTGGGTCCCAGAGGTTCTGAGTTCAAGCCCCACTCCCACAGACTGCCACTCTGGGTCCCTGCCATTTGATTTGTTAAGGATATAGGATTCCCTAAACTAGTGATCCATAGTTGGAGATATTTTTTCTAGCATAATTTTGAGCTGAGTCTCAAGCCGTCTTTTCCGACAGCATTTAAAAGCTCATTTCCATTAGCACCTTGGTGAGTTTTACACAAGTGTTAATCCTGTTAGCATGCCAAGTGATGCGGCACAATAAACAAAAGCTTAACCAAGAAACGACTGGACAAATACTATACTACATGGTCTCTGTTGGTACGTCTAAGGCAAAAAATACATGTATTGGTTATCGCTAGATGAGTCTTAAAATATTGTGCCTCCCTAGTGCACACACCTCCAAATTGTGCCTGAACTAGTTACTGGGAACCCATTACTTGCAGCCGTTCAAGCTGCTGATAAAAGGTAAAGTCATTTTGTTTGGTTTAAACTGATGCTGGAGGTGCAACAACCTTCTGTATTTATATGGAAATCCTTTATTGAGAAGAAACATTTCAGTGCAGCTGTGTTCCTGGCATAATGGAAGACTGTAAAGGCTCCTAACCTTGGCGCTAAAAGGAGGTCAGTTTGTTCGACTGTAGAATGTATGCAGGTTTAACTCTAATGTGATTCAAATGTAAGCTCTCCGGTAGCCAAATCACGTTACTTCATCGCTTCGGCTCCAGGTGGCTCTTTATCAGCTCCATCGTCGGTGATAAGACGAACCGGCAGAAGCAGCCGGAGCAAATAACATAACATCCCCACCTTCCTCCTCCATCTGTGCACCATCTGATCGGGCTGAGCTTTTAAAAATGCAAAAGCAACGAGTTTAACAACTGCTGCAGCTCAACATTTAGGGCTGAGATTTATTTGCAATTCAAAAGCTTTAATTAAACTCAGCTTTTTTTGTTTTTGTTTATAAAAATTAACATCAGCTGCAGATTTTCCTGATGACATCCTCAGTTTAGATCTGTGGGATCCTGGATGTGGAAATAAATGTAAAAAATGTGGGATTTAATTGTTTTTCTGTCTTGTTCCTTTAGCCCAACAGAAGATAGATTACTCCATCGCTGCAGGGATGCAGTTCTCTGCAGGGGATCGCTGTCAGGTTTGTGGGATTTACCCTTTATGTTAGTTCATTTTTCATATTTATTTTTATACCTAATTTTTTGGTGCGGTTTATGAAAAAACCCTCCAGGTTCGCCAAGAGAAGGGACGCAGCTACAAGGCCACCATCAAAGACGTGCCCGCCGATAACGGCCTGGTGACTGTTTACATCGAAGAGCTCGGGGAGAAGTAGGTCACAGGGCTGCAGATAATTCAGACTACACGGCTGGTGGTGATGTTAACGGGGTGTGTTGGTGTGCAGGAAGGTCCCTCTGTGGTACCTCCGACCGATTAACGAAGAAAACAGCTGGACCACCGTCACCAACCGCGACAAGAGGCTGAGCAACGGGCACGGAGGTGGGACGCAGGGGAGACATGTTCATCCCCAGATAAACTCTGTTTTAACCCTGTGACCCAATGTGTTAAAAATAAAAAAAAAGCTGTAAACAGCAATATTTTTTTTTTAATCAATCTTAAAAGGGATCCTCAATAAATAAACCTACATCGATAAACAGGTATTTTTGCACATGTGAAATGGAAAAAATAACAGCAAACACTCAATATGATCTTACTAATGCTGAGAGAATCAAATTAATCTGCATTTGTTCAAATGAACTAATTTAGTGATGGAATAAAAGCAGCCCTCGTGGAAGCAGATGTTTATGTGAACGCCTGCAGCATCCCACAGAGGCTGCAGCTGAGGAGCTTCCTCTCCACGACTAATGAGGCTCTCTGACTCTTTCAGAATGGGAGAGCAGGGGAAGAGGGAGAGGACGAGGGAAGACCATTGGAGCATCCTCCTCCTCCGTTTCCCCAGCAACGGGTGTCGGCTCCACTGGGCGCATGCAGAAGCAACACTCATGGCCCCCTCAGGCCACCGCAGAGGAGCAGGGAGGGGGGAAGTCAAACAGGTCAGTGGGTGTTAAGAGAATAATCACTTTCACTTTACGTTTTAAATCATTTTCCATTTTTTTTTCATCATTAATAAGTTTAGGTTGCTAAATAGCAGGTGATCGGTGATGAAAGTGTTTAGAAGAAGTCTTTCAAAATGTTCTTTTGACTCTTGGACTGATCTCTCTATATGTCTGTCCTGTTTTTGAAACTGGATTTTACCTCCAAATGTTTGTTTTCTTTTAAGTAAAGTTAACAAATTCAGGATTTTGTGTAAAAATAAAAAGCAGATTATTTTTGTCATCTTTAAAAAAAATGGCTCTTTAGCTATAGCTGAAGATAATGGTTTGTAAATATAGGCACATTGATAAATGTGGGGTTTTTTTTTTTTTTTTTTTCTCATAAGGCTGAAAGCATTTTTTTTTGTAGGAGATAAGTTTCGACAAATCAACATCCTATAAAAGAATTTATCCATCATCTTTTTGCTTTCTTTGGAAAGGGCACTAAAAGACCTAAAATTAAGTACCGGTAGAGGTTCATAAAAGCAGTGATTCCCAACCCGGGGATTGCGTCCCCCTAGTGGTCCTTAAATGCATTGCAAGGCTTACATGAAAATATTTAATTTTTTAGGTAGTAAAATAAAATAGGCTTGGGATTTGTTCTGCTTTCTGAGGACCCAACTAAAAAATTAAAAAAAGCTTTTATAAGCCAAAAAGTAATTTTTTCTTATATGTTTTAGTGTTTTCACCTTCAGCTGTGACACACATCCAAACCAAGCAGAGGAACAGACTGGATGCAGAGAAAAGTAAAACTAATTAAGTCTGTCTGACTATAATTTTGTTCTCAATTCATCACGTTAAATATGATTAGAGGGGAGTTACTTAGAGGAGCTCCAGTTTTACAAATACAGGTTTAAAATATGATTTTATTTGGCATTTATTTTGCTTTTATAATAACTTCCAGGCAACATATTTATGTTTTATATTTCAGATGGAAAGCATAAAATTATAAAAAATTAGATCCGAAAGTTAAGTGATTTAGTTAGTCTAATAATCCCCGATAGGAAAAATTCACCTGCCCCATAGCAAAGAGAAAAACATAAAAAAAGGATAAAAAGAACTCAAAATTAGATTTAAAAATAATAATAATCATGAAAAACTCAGTCCTTCATTAAACTGTCTAATGGCAGCCAGGACCAAAGATCTCCTGTATCTCTGTTCTTCTTCTCACAGAGATCAGTCTAGAAACGGCCTTTATTTCAGTTATTGTATGTTCTACTTTTGGACAATCATCGCTCTTTTAACTGACAGGGGAACTTATGGAAGACAAAATTACCCAAAGGGGAACACGAGTCAAAAAAGGTTGTGAACCACTGCATTAAAGGACTAAAAGCTTGCTAAAATGTAATCTGTTTTCCTAAAAGGTTAATGTGGTTTTAAGTGACTCTAAGCTGTTTTTATTTAGCTGAACTGTTGGAAGGAAAGACTCATTAGATTATTAAGCTGGATGTAAAATAAATGGATTGATATATCATCCATTTAAATGTAAACAAAGCCATGCAAGTAGGAGCCCCCAGCTCACTGCTTAAAGTAGTAGGGAGGTCATATTTAAAATTCAAATCATTCTGGCTTAAACATGTATATAAATGTACTCTTTATCAGATGATATTGTTCCATCTTGGTTCATATGTTGTAGCTACACGGTTGAAATAAGAAATAAGAATCCTTTCCCTTCCCATTGAGTTCCGTCCCAGTGTTCACGGGGATGGACGTCTGTGTCTTCAGCAGGCGTAGAGCTAACAGAACTGGCAGCGTTGCGAGGCAAGGGCTCAAACAGGTACGCTGGAAGCCTTCTACACCAAACCAAGCTTCTGCCGCCCTGGCGTCCTCTTCCACAACATCTTCGGCCCCNCTCTTTTAACTGACAGGGGAACTTATGGAAGACAAAATTACCCAAAGGGGAACACGAGTCAAAAAAGGTTGTGAACCACTGCATTAAAGGACTAAAAGCTTGCTAAAATGTAATCTGTTTTCCTAAAAGGTTAATGTGGTTTTAAGTGACTCTAAGCTGTTTTTATTTAGCTGAACTGTTGGAAGGAAAGACTCTTTAGATTATTAAGCTGGATGTAAAATAAATGGATTGATATATCATCCATTTAAATGTAAACAAAGCCATGCAAGTAGGAGCCCCCAGCTCACTGCTTAAAGTAGTAGGGAGGTCATATTTAAAATTCAAATCATTCTGGCTTAAACATGTATATAAATGTACTCTTTATCAGATGATATTGTTCCATCTTGGTTCATATGTTGTAGCTACACGGTTGAAATAAGAAATAAGAATCCTTTCCCTTCCCATTGAGTTCCGTCCCAGTGTTCACGGGGATGGACGTCTGTGTCTTCAGCAGGCGTAGAGCTAACAGAACTGGCAGCGTTGCGAGGCAAGGGCTCAAACAGGTACGCTGGAAGCCTTCTACACCAAACCAAGCTTCTGCCGCCCTGGCGTCCTCTTCCACAACATCTTCGGCCCCGCTTTCCTCCTCTAAATAAAAAATGGATGATGGAGGAGACTCATCCACGACCTCCGACATAAACTCCGCTGTCCATAGCGTTCCTTGACAGTGTCATTGCTTAGTGCTACTTGGTCCCAATGGAATTTCCCATTGGGAACCTACTAGCATTAAGTTGCTAACTGATTAGCAAGATGCTTCTGACAAACCAGCCACAACCAAATTTGCTTACAAACCTTCTGCCACAGCAATTCCGCCCCCTTGATAATCGACCAATCACATTCACTTTATTCAGTCGTGTAAAATCGTCCACCACTCGGGAGAATTCGGAAATGCAACCGTTGGAACAGCCGCTTCGCTGCGACTTTAAGATCAATTCATTACAAATTTACTTCCTGGGTTTTGGGATATAAGACTTTGGCTACGTTCACACTGCAGCCTGAAGTGACCCAAATCCAATTTTTTGGCCCATATGCGACCTGGATCTGATCTTTTCATGACAGTCTGAACAACACAGATCCATTTTGTTCCAATGCAACTCAGGCCACTTGGCTATGTGGTCCTTAATCCGATACGAATCTGATCTTTTCAAATGCGACCAGTGTCTGAACTGCCAGGTTGGATTCATCTGACCTGAACGTCATTAATCCCCGACAAAGGTCACTATTCTGCGTCTTGCTACCCAGAAGCAGCAAGAAAAACGACAACCATGGCAGATGATAATGCAGAGAGCAGTATTTGTTTAACCATATTGAAAAGATTGTGTTTTTATGGTTGGAAAAGATCGCTAGATGCACGCCGGCACTACCATCCATGTTTATTTCAGGAAAAAAATAGCACGCTGGCCTGTGATGTCATTGCGTCCTCTACTGCGCATGCGGGACACTTGCATTGTATGACTGCAGTTCGCACAGGAGATCACAGACAAGTCGCATATATCTGGAAATGTGAACGGCAACGCAAAACGAATCCGATTTTGCAAAAAAATGTCACTAAACCAACTTTTCCAGCTACCTTTTAAAATAAGTAGCATTTACTCTCTGGGCTGTTGTAGTTTGTAGCTGTTGGTTTTATATTTGAAATCTGAAAAACCAACAAATGTTCGGTTGAATTTGCACGTAAACTTTAATGTTAAGATAAAAATAATGGATCAAATAAATACAGTCCAGAAAAAGTGATTAAATAATGTGGATTCCTTGATTTCAAAGGTAATGTTTGAGCTCCAACCGTTGGTTTCATGAAGTCTTTTCTCTGCAGGAAGTCGCTGAGTTCTACAGAGCCGTGTTTCGGTTTAACTGAGGAGGAACGTTTGGCTAAAAAGAAGGAAGAGGAGAAAAACGCTGCGCTGGTGGAGATCCAGCTCAAAGATGAAGAGAGCTTCCCTGCTCTTGGGGTCAGTTTATCATATTTGCCAACAGAGATTAATTAAATTTATAACATTTAAACTCAGTGTATTCTAACTACACCCTGATGGTTAAATATTTTTACTGGGAGACTTGGAAGACAAAACGGTCAAACTGTGACCCACTTGGTGGCTAAAAATCAGATGTTTACTCTTTTTTTCTTCCATTGATTTTTTTTGTTTTTCTTTCTCAGAGTCAGTCTGAATTTGGGAGGAAGAAGTTGGGAGACAAGAGGCGGAGCCAGAGAAACAAGATGGTGAGTTCATATCTGAAGCAGAGGGCGCCAATGTGTCTGCCTGTCGATAAGTTAGACCAGTACTAAAAAAAGGAATATTTTATGTTTAGTTTATATCCTGGAAGTCTGATTCAGAGTATTGTCCTTTCCAGAGGAGTCCAGTTGATGAGGTCAGAGCGCCGTCGCCCACTGCAGGCGACAGACCTAAATCCTCCACTCCGCCTCCAGCTGCACCTCCGGTCAATGTGACCTCGCACACCAACAGCGCTCTTCCTGCTGCAAAACCCGCTGCTAACTCCGACCCCACTGGGCCGAGCTCTCTAAACGTAAACACGGCCGCCGCTACAGTTTCAGCTCCCGCCTCCGTCTTGCCGCCCAGCAGTGTTACTGCAGAGTCCAAACCAAGCACCCAGTCCTACGCCTCCGCCGCTGCTGTCCCCGTTTCCCCTCCACCGGGCATCAAGCCCCCTGCCCCGTCCTCCGCCAGCCTCTTCTCCTTCATCACCCCCGTCCTCCCTGCCGCTTCGGCCCCAGCTCCGCCTTCGTCTTCCTCTTCGGCTGCATCTCCTCCACCTCAGGCCTTAGCTGCAGCTCCAACTTTCATCGCCCCCATCGCTCCGAGTCCGACGGGTGCTCAGGGCTTCAAACGCCCCTTCTCCCCGCTGACCTCTCTGCCTCGGTCCCCCAGTCCTCCATCTTCCTCCTCCACCATCATCCCTCCTCCTGTTCAGGTCAAAGAAGCTCTACCGGCCCCGACTAGTAAGTTTAAAGTTATTTATATGAACAAACATGACCTTGATTCAAATTGTAATATTTCTTTATAGAAAAACATGAGTTCTTTTTAATTTAGTGTCTCCATTCAGCGCAATTTCTTCTGATAATTATGATTTGATGGTTAATGGAAACGCAACTACCGTATGATTCAGAAAAGGTCATTTTATGTTTGTTGTTTGTTTTTTATTTGATGAAATAACATAAGTAAAGCTACTAAAGGGAAACGCCTATGGGTGGGGTCTTTGGCGCCATAAGAACGCGCTAAAGGCAGCGTTCTGGGGCACGCACCACCTCAGTAAATCGTTCCCCATGATGAACAGTTTGTACTGCAACTGAAATCTCAATTACAGTGTAAATTGTAGTTGACAATAATGATTGATTGATAGATCTACTTGTTACTGTAGAGTTTTGTTTGAAAAAACTGGAATATTTGATGTTCTTGTATGCAGATGATGTTTTAATATCTTACTGTGACTTTTTTTGGTGTATCTTCTAGATGCTTTGCCAAAGATTGAAGGAAGCCTGTCAGCATATCAGACCTCACAAAGTGAGACATCTGCCTCCCAGAATCTTCCCCAAGTTGTTCCAAACCAGGTTAAGGCTTCAGTGTCCCCTCCAGAAATAACAGCCCAACGCTCTTTACAAGAAATCCAGACCGACTCTTTTCCACCAAACCAGATCCAGGCCCCTCAGCACCAGCTACAGGCCCACGCTGAGGAGGCCCCAGAGCCTCAAACACTCCTCCCACCTCAGTCTGAGAGCACTCCAGTTCAGCCCCCAGAGCTTCCTCAGGTCCTACAGTCTCCCAGCATTCAGAGTTCAGAAGAGCCTCTGCCTCCGAAGTCCGATTCTCCTCCCTCAGATCCCCAGCAGTCCCACCCGCCTCCTCCTGTCAGCGCTCCACAGATACACCCTCACCTTCCTCACCCTCAGGCCATCCCTGGGACCGTCCCCCTGCAGCAGCTGACCCAGCTCTACCAGGACCCCCTGTACCCCGGCTTCCCTCAGGGGGAGAAAGGAGAGGCCGTCCAGGGCGTTTCCTTCTCCACTAGCAAGTCTGGAGACGACCTGCCCAAAGGTGAGCTGGAAGTGGAGTTAAAGTGGCGATAATCTACTAAACATCTTTAGACTTTTTAATAAAACTACATGAATCTGTGAATTTTGATTTATTTTTTAATTGAAAGGAGGTTAAAAGTTCTTGAAGTTTCCTTTTGAATATTTGTTTTAGGGATCAACAGATAAAGGCCATTATCGATACCGAGTATTGTTACAAAATCATTTTTTTCTGCTCTTCCTTTCTCTTTCCCTGTGTTAATATATGGAGAAGGCAGCATTGCACACGCTGCTGGAGATCTCAATGGAATGCAGCAATGAAGCTGATAACATTTGCACATATCAGCAGATAGTAGTACAAGAAACAAACGGCGCTAAACCGCTCTAACATGGTAGCAGTGGATCAGTAGGGTTCGGCGTGGTTCAGCCTACAGCCTCCGCTCTTCCTCCCATCTTGCTCCGCTTCGACTTCCTTTGAGTTAAAGGAAAGACTGCGCGATATTGTTAAATTCAAAGGAGCAAAACACACGCTAATGAGCGCTTAATTTAATATGACATATTAAAAAAATCCCCATCAGCATCCAGCAGATGTTCAGTTTCTGCACAAATATTTTCCTTTTGTTGTGGATTTTTGTAACAGGGATAATAGGATGAATTAACTATGTTTGTTCTCTACTTCCAAACTCAGCATCTCTTCATCCATGCCTGAAATAAGAAGTTTCTTTTGAAGTTGTGAGACTCTTAGAAGTTTTGAATGGATTTGATTAAACTTTTTTTGGTATAAAATAAAAAAAAATTGATGGAGATGAGAAATCTGCTTCCTGGTATGATGAAGAACCAATAGTCTGCATCCAATCGTTTAATTTAACGCTCTTAGTTTTGGGGAATATATAAGAATTATGCTCTAATGTGTAGTTACAGATCTGTTGTTACCATATTTTAATTGGACAGACAGGATCTTCCTCGGTTTTTAAAAACCAGACCGAACTTTCTTTTTCCTGTTTGGTGCGATTGCAATTGTGGATCTTGACCTGGCCGGACTGGAGTGGAGCAAAAAAAATAGCTCGGCTCTGTATTTTGATAGTGAGGGACGGAGAAGACGTACGTGGATGGTAACGTGTGGAGGAGTAGTGGTGGATGTGGAACATGTCTCATTGATTTACACGACAGACAAGTACTCCGCACGATGTACGTTAGCGGAGCAGAGCACTGAGTATGTGGAATCTGAGGGTTACAGTCAGCCTCTTAATCATGAAATTTCTGACATTTATAAAAATCCTAGCTTCCCTACTGTTCCATATGATTTCCAGTGATGATTCTGCTCAGCAGTGTGATGAGCCTCAACATCGATTGTTTTTTCCTGTCTGTAAGCCCTGATTAGACTATCGTTTGTCGTATTCCCAAAAGCCGACTGTCAGATAAATTCACCAAAGGCTGCCTTCTTCACCTGAAGACAAACGACGAAATATCACAAACTTCCTGAATGCATGGTGCCGCCATATTGATTTGCTTGTTTCCCTCCGATCTACAGTAGTACTATAGATCGGCGCTAGGAGGTGAAGAACCGTGATACGTATACGGTCGTAAGTAACCGAGCGAGAGACGGCAGTGAAGGTCAAGGGGATGGATAGATTTACTGTGATTTACTGTGATGGGATAATGAATTACACCTGGGATAATATCTAAGGCTCATCTTGTTTCTGTGTGAAGATGACAAAATTAGACTGGAGCCGTCACGGATCACACTGTTTGCAGATGATGTTGTGATGTATAGTCAGGTTAGGTTAGGTGAAGGCAGCATGGAGGATTCGTGTTTCATCCTAGAGAGGAATTGAGGAAGAGGCAGTTAAAGTAACAGGTTCTGTTAATGGAGTTGGCAAAAAGACCGATTAACCTTTCGTTGCAGTCGTCCATTGTAGTCGTTCCTTGGTTTTTAAAAATGGCGCGCCCCAGCACCGAATAGAGAAGGACGACCACACAGACAGGCGGAAAGGCATACGAAGGACCAATCACAGCTGCTTTTTGTCTGCGCACTTCCGCTTGAGGTCTGCGCGGTTCCGACGCGTAGTCAGATTTGATGGTTGCAGAGGCTATGCATCAGAAACATAAATTGGCCTTTAGTCCTTGATGTGGCTGAGCTGGGTTTGAAACCCCCCCCACCCACCCCTCTCTCATACCCTCTGTCCTGTCAGCCCACTGTATTAAAAACGAGCCACTAGTGCCCTAAAAGCCACAAAAAAAAAGAAAGAAAGAAAATCCACAACTATGGGGAAATGCATTGCCCAAAAAGTGAAATATGTCAAAATGAAATATGGCAAAATCGAAGTGTGAAGATGGCTGAGCTGATTTTCATTGGTTGTTGAAGATGATGTTAAAGGTAGCTCCTAATTGGAACAACAGAAAGAATGGAAGAATAATCTGAGATGATTCATCTCTTTAAAAACAAATAAATAAAAACATGAACATTTAACCTTTTTGCAAATATGCAAAAAAAACAACAACTTTGTATTACGTACACGCCCAGGATGAACATTCCCCCCGGGGAAGTTTTTCACATTGTGTTCACCTAGGAACCTTTGCTAAGTGCTTGTTGCCGTTATATCTGGTACCATTATAATTGTCACACAGTTGTAATATACCTACATTTTTATTGAATCTATAAAACTAATCTATAAATTCAGGCGTTAAAGAGTTAATGATAAACCACATTAAGTATGTATGATAATAAATCTCTCAATATTGTTTATATTCAGGTATTCTTACATTTTCTTCGTAGGCTTTGAATGTTTTTTTTTTTTTACTTTTAATATGAACAAAGAATAATGTCCAGAAAAGTATCAGCAGTATTGTTTTTTCTGAATGTCTGTTATTGTTTCTTTTGTCCGTAGATATTAACGTCCTGAGGTTTTTCTTCAACTTGGGCGTGAAGGTAATAGAATCATTGTCCTGTTAAAGTAGATCCAGATGGTTTC